CCTTGCAAGGAATTTCCATGCCTGTCACTACACCAGAGAGCAGAGTCCCTCCTGTGCTGGCTTTCCTCACCTTTCCAAATGTTCTCCAAGGCTGTTTTTGAGTCTGGAGCTTCTCTGACCTCAGGTCCTGGGGGGACTCTGTCCCACTCAACCCGCAAGGCTGGGCCCCATTTCCCTGAGCTCCCAAGCCCCCACTTCCTTGGGCCCCTCCTTACTGGCTTTGGATGGGGTGGGATACGCAGCGCTGCTCAGCTTCTTCAGCTCTGGGCAGTTGAATTTCTCTCTGATGGGGTCAAGCAGTTTGTTCAGGGCTACTTCCACCGAGTTCTTCAGGTCTCCAGGGTGCACAACCTGTGTCAGGACAAAGATGTTCCTGTCTGAGGTCACGGGTGGGAACTGGAGACCAAACAAGGTGGCAACATGAATTCCAAATCCTTGACCTAATTCCCCTTGGACATCAGAAGTTTCTGGACACTTGTGCCTCCAGCCTCTGCTGGGAACAGCTGGGAAGGGTTAAACTGCTGCTCTGCTCCAGGATGTGGCTGATGTGGTGCTGTCCTGACCTCACACCCTTCACTCATCCTCTCTCCCCTGGGTTCTCCTGCCTAGGAGCATCCCACATCACAGGCCATGCCCCACACCTCTTCCCAGCGCAGATTTCCATCTCCCAGAGCTCCCAGACTGCTCACAGGAACCTCAGGCAGAAGGTTCAGCCTCTCCCAGCACTCACCTGCTCAGCAAAGTCCTTCTCCAGGGCCTCGTAGGCTGTGTAGGTTTTGTTTCCTCCCCATTTTTCCTCTCGCAGGACCACAAACTCTAGGACAAAACAGGTTTTAAAGCTCAGGTTAACTCAAGGCTCACGTGAACCACCCACCCCACTCTGCCCAAGAACAGAGGCTGAGCAGGTGGCACTCAGGGACAGCCTTGTTCCAGGGGACACACTCCTGTCCCCCACCCCTGAGCACAGCGAGCCTCTCACCTGACTTGAGAGGGAAGAGGACGTGCTTGATGAAGGAGAGGACACCGTTGTTCTCCACGTTCCCTGGCTCACAGAAAGCCTTCTTCAGCTTCTTCTTCACGTCCTCCTTGCGGTCCAGAAGATCAATCTTTGAGTCCTGCAGCAAGAGATTTCCTCAGCCCTTCACACCCAAGCTTTTGCCCAGAAAACTTATGCTGGAGTGCTGCACCTTCTTAGAACCCTGTGTGAGTGGGGAAGGAGAGCTCACCTTCCCTGGGGTGGTTCCCTCTCAGCCCCCAGCCACCAACCTGTCCCCCCAGAGCCCCCTGAGCACAGCCAGACCCAGACCAACCTCTTCTGACGAGCTCATTTTGCTGCCTGTCAGCCCAGGAACCATGGGGTTCATCAAATGAACGCGCTTGGCATAGCCCAGGGAAGGGAGGTACTGGGAAAACACAAGGAGGCAAGTCAGAGACAAACCTCATTCAGCTTTAATTCACAGTCCCTGTTTGCTCCTGGCTCCGAGTAACTTTGGGATCTGGGATAACAGGACTCAGGAAGGGCAGAGTCACAGCCAGGGATGTGTGGCTGCACAGAGCATGGGAGCAGCAGCAGCACAGAGAGCTGTCAACCAAAATCCCACACACTTCTACCAATGGATTTGGGAGTGGCCAAGCCCTCCCTCAGGCCCCAGTCTGGCAGAAATCCCCCAGTTCCTGACCTTCTCTGCGAAGGTGAAGATCTTCCTCTGATCCACCCCTCCAAACTGTGCGTCCACCTTGAGATATTCCTCATCCAGCGCCTGTGGAGAGACACAGAGCCTTGAGGCCAGACCCCAAACAGTCCTGGCCTGTCTCTCTGCCTCTCCTGGGGCACTCCCAGCCAGGGGAGGATGGGAACATTCCAGACTGTTTGCTGGAACAGCAGCTCTGTGCTCAGGCCAGGCTTTGTGCCACCACCAGGTGTGACATTGGGGTGGACAACAATGACCTTGACACTCAGCCCCAAACACCCCAGCTGCCAGCACCTCCCTGGACACCACACCTGCCTCACCTGCAGGCCTGGGTAGAGCAAACCACTCAGCAAGGGATGTTCCACCTGCTTCACCACCTCTGCCCCTGCCTTCTTGGCGTCGTGCTGCGTCACCACGGAGGAGAGCCGGTACACGTCCAGCGTGTACTCCCTGTGGGAGGGACAGCACCGTCACCACCGGCCACGGGGACACCTCTGAGAGCTGCTCCTGGCCACACTGAGAGGGGACAAAGCCTGGAGGCACCTCCTGGAGTGGCAGCTTGGGATCAGCAGAGTCCCAGGACTCACTTGCTGAGCTGGTAATCGGTGCCCCGGACAAATCTGAGCTTTTCCAGGGGCACCCCGATGCTCTCCAGCATGGCTTTGATGACATGCTCGTAGTAACGGGTGCGCAGCTCCAGCAGCTCCCAGGGAGCCTTCATGTTGTCCAGGTAAGCGTGGAGGTCGGCAAAGAGGATTGTCACCTAGGACAGGGGACAGGCGGTGTCACCTGGGTGAGGGGAACTGCCCCTGCTGACTGCAGCTGCCACCCAGCACGGTGACAATGCCCCACCTCACAGCCAGCCTTCAGGAAATCTGCAATCTTGGACATGGGCACGAAATACGCCACGTGAGGCTTGCCCGTGGTGGCGGTCCCCCAGTAAATCTTCAGCTCTCGCTCCTTCAGGATGGCCATGAGCTTGTCCTCGCCCAGCACCTCCTGTCAGGGGCCAAAACACACGGCACTGACAGGGCTGGGCAGGACAAATCCTGCTGGGTGTCCGGGCTTCACACACGGTGTGTCCCGGTGATAATCCCCGGAGCTTGCTCTGCCTCAGAGCTCCCCATGCCCTGATCCTGCCCCGTTCCCCCCTCTCGCACCCCAATCCTGCCGTATCCCCTCGATCCAGCCCCGACTCCCCCGGTATCTGGACCCCATCCTGCTCCAATCCAGCCTCGATCAACCCGCCCAGCCTCAATTCCTCCGCCCGACCCCGATCCAGCCCCGCTGGTCCCTGAGATCCAGCCCAGATGTCCCCTCTCGTCCCCCCCGGCCCGGCCCCGACCCGGCCCCATCCGCCTCCCGGTACCTGCAGGTTCCGCGTGATGAGCTGATACTTCTCCTGCGGGCCGGGCGCGGGCTCCATAGCGGCGGCTGCAAGGCAGGACACGCCGTTAGCGGAGCCCCGGGACCCCCCGGTACCCCCCGGTACCCCCGAACCCCCCCGGTTCCCCGGCCCGGTCCCACCGACCTGCCCCGGGTTGCATCAGCCCCGCTCGGCGCTCGACTGCCGCGCCTGGGCCTTCCGAGCGCCGAGCTGCCGATGCAACGAGCGGGAGTGAGGGGGCGCGCTCCGCCAATCAGAGAGCGCCTCTCACGGCGAGGAGCCCGCGCTCCGCCAATCAGAGAGCGCCTCTCACGGCGAGGAGCCCGCGCTCCGCCAATCAGAGAGCGCCTCGCGCCTGTGGGGGCGCGGCCTTGGCGCCGTTAAGATGGCGGCGGGTGAGCGCCCTTCTCGCCAGGCCCGGCCGGGCCGCGGCCGCTGCTTTGTCTCAGCCAAACTTAATTTTATCCTCGTTTATTTAGGGAGGGGGGTTTACCCCTTTTTTCCTGGGATTCGGGGAGCTCCCCGTGTTCGGGTGGGCCGGGAGGAGGAGCAGGGGCGGGGCGGGCTTGGCCCCGCCTTGGGGCGGTGCCGTTGAGGCGCCGGTTGGGCGGTGCCCGCTGAGGGACGGGCGGGTCCCTGATGGAGAGAGGCGGGGGCCGTGGTTGATTCAACGACCTCGGTGAGGGGCGAGGGGGGCCTTAGCGTTTCCAGGGTGACCCAATTGCGGGTTTTTAGTGCCTAAAAGGGCTTCAAGAGAGCTGGAAAGGGATTTGGGATCAGGGCCTGGAGAGACAGGACAAGGGGGAATGGCTTCCCACTGCCACAGGGAGATGGGATATTGGGAAAAGAATCCTCCCTGTGAGGGTGGCGAGGCCCTGGCACGGGTTACCCAGAGAAGCTGCTCCATCCCTGGAAGTGTCCAAAGCCAGGTTGGAGCAAGCTGGGCTGGTGGGAAGTGTCCCTGCCCTGGCAGGGGGTGGCACTGGATGAGCTTTATGTCCCTTCCCACGCAAACCATTCACGGGTTCCATGGTTAGAGCCGAATTATCAGACTGTCACACTGCATGGGACTAAATCCAGACGTGTTCTTGTGTGGGTTTTGTGCACACACAGCTGATTCCTGAGGTGTTTTTTTTTCCTAGCACAATTCTGAAAGTGTCCATTTTCATTATTTAGGCAGAATTGCCCAGGTTTCATTCCTGGAGTGTGTAAACCTCCCCTTTTTTAAACAGTAGTCAAAGCAACGGAAAGACAAAATACATTCCTTTAAATCCTTGCTCAAAGAGGACAGGAAATACCTTGCCTTTGTCCAAATTCCCCTGCTGGGTGAGAGTCAAGTGCAGGGCTTTCAGGTCCAAAGATTCCTTTTGGGATGAGTCCTCACTCCGGGAAAAAACAGGGTTTGTTTGTGAATACTTTGGAGCTATTGAGTTTCACAGGAAGGTTCTTTATCTGGTGATCTTGGATTACAACGAGGGTTTTGTGTGAGTGTCTCAGTGACTAATACCCTGACAGGGTTCCTCTTCCTTTGCTCAGTTTTTCCCAACCCCAAAAAAGACTTTTTTTATATTTTGTTTGTTTATCTCTGAAGGGCAAAGGTGGGGGTTGAGACACTTGGAGGTTTTATTTAATGTCTCTGGAGTGTTTTGCAGTTTAAGGCTGTAATTTGGGATCCCTGGGGTCTGCTGTGAGGGACTGGCAGCAGTTTGGGAGGAGACAGGGGTTTCCAATCATTGGGATTTCCCCTGGTGCTGCTTGAGGGAACTCTCAGGGATGAAGGAATTGTTGGGACCTAAAACAAGAGAACAAGATCAAATTATGGTCGTTTTGCCTTCCCTGTGAAATTCCAGCATTTTGGGGGTACTGCTGAGCTCCTTTACTGAGGATGTCACTTTTGCTGGCAGGTTGGAGCTGACTCCTGCTGCTTCCTCTGGAAGAGCTGATCAAAGGCCAGCAGCAGCAGAAGAGCCTCTAGAATTGGGAGCAGAGTTCCAGGAAGCCACAGAGCCATGGGAGACAGTTCCCCTGCGTCCCCTGGGCTCTGTCAGGAATTCAGACAGGACCCACTCCCCAGGGCTAAGAGGCTGTCGGATTCTGCAGTGCAGGTGCAGGCCCTGCAGTCAGCTAAGAAAGCCTGTGTGCTGAGGCGTGGCTGCAGCACTCCAGACCCAGCAGGGAATCCTCTCTTCCCTTCCCCAAGCTCTGGCTGCTCCCTTTTCCTGGAGGAGAGTGCCCAGGATGAGTTTGGTGCCAGTTTTTCTGTGCCCAAATATGACGACGTGGCCATTTCCCTGGACATCAGCGGGTGTTTCGACGACAGCGAGCTGGATGACTCCTTGCTGGAGCTGTCAGGCAGCGAGAAAGGGAATTCTCCCTTTGATTACACCGAGGAAGAGATCCAGGAAATCTTGGCAGATGATTCCATGGAAGCTGAGCAGCAGCACCTCGCTGGTGAAAGCCACCTGAGCCAAAGTGTGAGCGGAGAGAGCGACAAGACAGAGAGCAGCGGCTGCACCGCAGGGACATTGGTCAGTGAGGCAGCCTCAGAGGAGCCAGAGGAACCCCAGGAGCATCCCTCAGGCAGCTCTGGGTGTGATCCTGGCTTTTTGGGTGGCAGTGCTGCCCTGGATGGGTCCCAGCTGCAGGTGGAGATGGACCTAGACCTGCAGGAGCTGCTGAGCCTGAGCCCGTTCGCTGCCGCCTGCGCTGGTGAGGCTCTGGAGGAAAACAACCTGGAAAGAGAAACTTTGGATGCAATGATAGATGATTGTTTGGGATATTCCACAGCTGCTGGGAGCTGCAGTCCTGAAAAATCCAGAGAGAGGGTGATGCCTAAAGGCCGGGAAAGCGCGGATCAGGATTGCCTGGGAAGATCCGTGCCCTCATCCAACCTTCCCTGTGGCCAGAGCACAGGGGATGAGAGTCCAGCATCTGTGATGCCACCAAAAAAAGAACTTCCCAAAGCAACACCGAGCTGTTCCTCAAGGAAATCAGGCTTGCCAAAGGATGCTGAAGGGGAATCCACAGGAGCTGAGAAGCCACCAGGCAGCACTAAAGTAAAATCACATCTTCATTCTTGTAATTTGAATGTTTTTAATCACATCCCTTTGGGTTTGTCCATGTGCACACAAGTGTTGTGTTTATATAGGGGAGGTTTTTCAAGTGGGTTTTTGTATAAATCTATAAGCAAAACTTACATGGAAAAATTTTATTACACATTAATCCCCTTTTCCCTTCCCTTTCCAGTTAAGTGACACAGCTGTAGGCCAGACTGGGCAGGAAGAGCCACCCAGTGGGAAGAAAAGTGGCAAAGTAATTCCTGTCCCACAGGAGAAGGAAGAAAGGTAATTTATTAGGAAATCTGCACTTTGAAAATCATCCCAGCTGTTTCTTCCATAACTTTGTTCCTTGGTTTATTTTTATTTTTAAATTTTTAAAAATTTAAATTTTTAAATTAAGCTGCACTGAAATAGTGGGGAAACAACAAATGTTTCACCCTGTAAGATTGTAGTGGTTTTGGTTTGTTAATTTGAGGTTTTTGGTTAATATATTAAATAATGTAGTGGGTTTAGTATTGGTTAAAATTGTTAGTATATTTATTAGATTTTTTTGTTGTTGTTGTGAGATATGAATTAGGAGGTGGGTAAAATAGGTTTAAAATTTAAAAGGTATAAAGAAAAATTTTATTAATAGAATGAAGAGAATAAGAATTAGAATATAGTTTTTAGAATAAGAATTAGTAAGAGAGATTTTTTTTGCTTGCTTGTTTTTAAAATGTGGCTTTTTTAGAGGCAGATTTAGTTTTTAAATGGTTTAATAGCTTGTTAAATTTTAGAGTTAGTTACTGGTTTTTTTTAGGTCCAGAGGAAGCTCTTAGCAATTTTTTTAGAAACATTATTTTTGTGGATGGCTTCTTCCCTCCTCACTAAATATTAATTAACGTAAAGCTAGTACATCGATGCTGTGAGAAGGGGGAGGATGTCGGGGAACGGGAAAGGAGGTGGCTCGGGCAGTTTTGGGTCTGCAGGGGATGTTTGTGCCTCATGGCCCGGAGCCGTTCCCTGCAGGTGGCAGCAGCGGAGCGGCTCGGGATGTTGCTCCTACTCTTCCCCGCTCCTGGAGGCGGCACATCGGGGCTTTTCCCCGCGTTCGGGGCGTTGCTGTGGTGTGAAAAAGCCGCTTTGGAGAGCTCCCTACGGCAGTGACCGGCTGGGAGCCTCAGCTCTCGGCGTGTTTGATCTTTGCAGCTTCACTCAAATAAATACTTCTATTTTTTCAGTCCCAGTGCTACAAGAATGTCATGTCTGCCACAGTTCTGCAGGGCTCTTTGCCCTCTCTGTCAACTGTAACCTAATTTGACAAATAATCTAAAAATGAATTAACACAATTTATTATTTTTAAGGCAAAAACAACGGACCTGCATTTCAGAAGCACAGCCTGAGCAAAAGAAACGTTTCTCTCCAGGCTGTGGCAGTCCAAGTGAAGAGAAGTGTGGTTATAACCTCAGGTAACCCCCAGGTGGGATGGGATGAGGCTGGTGGGGAGGGAAAAATTGATATCCTGGCTGGCTGGATGGACTTGAATTCATTGTTTGGAGTGTGTTTGTTTTCAGAGGGGAATAAAGAGTGCCTGTGACACTCTTGTGCACTGCCATGCACAAAATTCCTGCACAGGAATCAGCCCCTGGCTCCAGGGTTGGGTCAGAGGAGTTTTAGAAATACTTGGGAAATATTGTGAAGGGAGTTGGGTGTGGAAAATCAGGGGTGCTCCAAAAGCAGGTTTGTATTCCCTGGGAGAAGAAGTGCTGAGCTCTGGCTTGTTCTGTTGGGAATTAACTTGGTCATGTCAGTTCACAGCTATCCCAGAATCATCAAAATTGGAAAAGACCTTCAATAACGTCAAGTTCCCACCTTATCACCAGCCCAGAGCACTTGAGTGCCACCTCCAGTCCTTCCTTGGACACCTCTAGGACTCCACCACCTCCCTGAAACCTGTGAACTCACACTGGGAGAATCTTGAGTTCAGGTGCTGTGATTTAGACTCAGACAGAGGAAATCTTGAGCTCAAGTGCTGAGATTGAGATTCAGACTGGGGGAATCGAGCTCAAGTGCTGAGATTTGGATTCAGACTGTGGGAATCTTGAGCTCAAGTGCTGAGATTGAGATTCAGACTGTGGGAATCTTGAGCTCAAGTGCTGAGATTTAGACTCAGACTGGGGGAATCTTGAGCTCAAGTGCTGAGATTTGGATTCAGACTGTGGGAATCTTGAGCTCAAGTGCTGAGATTTGGATTCAGACTGGGAGAATCTTTAGCTCAAGTGCTGAGGTTTGGATTTGGACTGTGGGAATCTTGAGCTCAAGTGCTGAGATTTGGATTCAGACTGGGAGAATCTTTAGCTCAAGTGCTGAGGTTTGGATTTGGACTG